AATCATTCTTAGAAAGTTAACCGTTGACTCTCTTTTAATAACTGTTTTATTCATAAAGAGATTGGGTAATTTTAAAGAAAGTTTATCTCCCCGACTAGGTTTGCGGAATTTAGTTTTCCTAACATTTAATGAAAGTTTATTATTTGTAATCCAGTCATTTATTTTTAATAACTCTTCGTTAGATATTCTAGACAGATCTTTTATATTACTGTTTGAGTAAAAAAAAAATTCTAGTCATCAGTAAATAAAATAACACTAAAAATTTTGGATACAAAATATTAATAATTTATATAGAGTAGGAATAATAGCGGCCCTAAGATTGATCCCTGGCGAGCACTACATGTTATAATATGTTTTTCTGTTTCATTTGCTGTGTACAAATGTACTGTTTTGTAAAAATATAAGTATTTTTACATTCATAATAACTTTTTCTTATTTTTATAAAGATGACATGTAAAACGATAAAAGAAAAAAAAGGCGTTTTCAAAAAACCATCGATATTATTACTGGGAAACTACCAAAACTTTTCAAAAATGGTGCTTTTTGAAAAAAAAACAACCCCGTTAGGCCGGGTGAATAAAAAAATGCTCATAAGCAGTTTTTAAAAAATGCAATTGCTCATAAGCAGTTGCTCAGAATAAATGTAAAATTTTAGTTTTACTTTAATCCAAATTTATTTTGAATTAAATATATTTTTAATGGCTACAATTTTATCAATTTTTAAATTGAGATCCGGCATATACATCTTTATAGCAAAGATATAACCTTTTTTATTAAGTTACAGTAAAAGACCATTACAAAAAAAAAACCAAAATTACGTTGTTGTTGTTTTTAAAGCTACGCATGCGCATAACAAATGTCTGCAAATGCCTAAAGTAAAAAGTCAAAAATACATGAATAAAGTTTTGCTTTTGGTCCTAAGTAATTGCTTTTTCTCAAGTAATTGTTTTTGTGTCGGAATAAAGCTATACACCGTTGCCGATATAAATAGTTTTTTTTAAATACTTTTAGTGTTAAAAAATAACTATTTCCGACCAGACTGAAATTGAGTTAAGAGAAAATAATATAGTTTGCCAAAATTTTAACAAATGTAAAGATGAAGTTTTAATAAATATAGTATGCGAACTACCAATCCTTCTTCAAAAAAATCATGTTCCGGACGTTAGATTCCTATCTTCGCAAAAATTGATAGTAAAAAAGACTATTATATATATATATATATATATATATATATATATATATATATATATATATATATATATATATATATATATATATATATATATATATATATATATGTATATAAATATATATATATATATATATATATATATATATTTACATAGCAAATTCCAAAGAATTGATGTTCGAGGAAAAAAAATAGACAAATAAGAGTTTTTGGAGCTCTTAGGAACAGCCACAGAAAAAGGATGAGACTTAATTGAATGACGAGTAACATGAGAATGAATTTTAGTAGATAACAGAAGAGACGCTAGCTCTTTAGATAAAAAAGAGAAAAAGAAGCAACATTACAACTATGTGATAATGGTTGGAGGTTGGCTTTAAAAGCAGGTCTAACTATGTTTACAATGCGTTTTTGCACCTTGTCAAAAAGAGAAAGGGTATCATTGGAAGATCCGCCTCAGATATAACAGTATTCCATTCAAGGACGGATTTGAGATTTATAGAGATAAAGAATAGAATCCGGAGTAAAAAAATGTCAAGCTCAATAAGAGATGCAACCTTAGCAGATGCTAGTTTTTAATGGATTTGATATATGGTTTCCAAGAAAGATTGGAAATAAGAGTTAATCCTAGAAGATAAAGGGTAGATGACTCATCGAGTATATTACCGTTTATAAATATAGAAAGATCTGAATTATTGCGATAACGATTGGCTGAAAAAAATTAAGTTTTATATGAATTAAAGTTCACATACCACTGTGAGCCCTATACTGTAGCAAAAGTGAGATCCTTTTCAAGCTCAAATGCCCCTCCAAACAATCAGAGAGTGTTGGCTTCTTATCATGGCAAAAATAAATGGTAATATCATTGGCAAACAATGCCACCTTAGATGTGAGAATATCTGGAAGATCGTTAGGTGCAAATTAAAAAAAAGTATAGGACCAAGGATTGAAATTTAAGGAACCCTTGAAGTTACAGGATATGATGATGAATGCTGTCCATCGAGGATATCTTTTATACTATGATTGGAAAGGAAGAATTCAATGATCTTAAAGATGTAACCTGATTCACCGTAAGAAGAAAGCTTATGGAGTAGAGCAAATCAGCTGTAAAGCGAGAAAATCCACATTGATGATCAGAAAGTAAGTTATTAGATTCAAGATGAGAGACTAAGTATTTATTAATTAAAGATTTAAAAGTGCTTATTAACTAAAGACCTTTTAGTTAAGATTGTATAATTTGTATTGTATTATTTGTTCAGAAGTATATTGATTGATAATTGATGTTCACTATACCTAATGCCTTGATTATATAACCGATTACATTATGCGAATATATTATATAAAATTTTAATAAACGTGATAAATTCGCAAGTTAAAAAATATATATATATCAAATTATACTCACACAAACTTTGGAAGACATTATTCACAATCATTCGCATCATTTTTGCTAAAATTGTATTCCAAAAAAATTATTGAGCCAATAATATGCTAGTATAATTATAAATAAATGCATAATGTAAAAATAATAAAGTAAAAATTATATGACTAAATGACTAAAAAAAAAAGAGGTCCTCTATATATATATATATATATATATATATATATATATATATATATATATATATATATATATATATATATATATATATATATATATATATATATATATATATATATATATATATATATATATATATATGTTTGATGAAAATAAAAAAAAAATGTCATAAATAAAGTTTGTGAACTCTTTGCCTAACCTTGTCTTCATATTGGCCATTTGTTTTTGCTAATGTTTTTAAATCGCTCTTTGTTTCAAAAAAAATTTATTATATTTAATATCAGTATTCTTATCTTCGCCACCGAGTCTTTTACCTTTATCCCAAAACTTTTTGCAATTCTCAATATGTAACTTAAATGCTTTTGTTCACTACTTATGCTATATAAATTCTATTCATCCTATGTAATGAACCAGGGCCGCCCCAAATAGGTCTCTGATGGGGAAGAGGAAGGAAGGGTGGAGGGGGGGTGGTTGTGTCGTATGTGCTTTTGTCAACTAGAGTAACCAAAAGAAAAAAAAAAATTCTCGACATTTGACATTTGCCAACTATACTCCAAAACTTGCCAACTGAAATGCTAAAGGTACAAATGTGCCAACTCAAATGCTTATATAACAGCTTTGGGAGGAATGGGGGGGGGGGAAGGGGAACACCCCCAACACTCCCAGTTAGGGACGGCCATGTAGTAAACGTACATAATAGTCTTCTTCGTGTTTAAAAGTCACTTATTTCCAGGGTAGTAACTACAATCGGGTCTAGTTTTTATAATGTTTAAAATCAGTGGCAGATGCAGGATTTATTGATATTTTGGTAATGACACTTTACTCATATTAAGCATCAAAAAGTCCTGTGTCCGCCGTTCGAAATCTTGTTTATATCTACGTTGTGTCTATGTTATATCTATGTTACGTAATATCTATGTTACGTCATACCTATATTATGCCATATCTATGTTACGTAAAAAAATACAAAGATTGGGGATTAGGAACAACAAAGCCCTAAAATGTTGGTCCCCTTTCCCTATACCAATTATAGAGAATAAAGAAAAGTTTAAATTTTTTGTTTTCAATCAGAAAACAAAAAATTTAACATGTATTTATAGGCAGATTTTATTTTTTATCTAAAAATTTCTTATTAGAAATTATGACCATGTAAAGTTTAACTCTCCTCTCTATGCGGCTGTGGCGCAGTAGTTAGGGTGCTTGCTTTATAAGCAGGAGATCCAGGTTCGAAACGAACCTTGGACATATTTTCGCGTCATGGTAAGGAAGGAGGCGTGAACTTCCTGGTTAAATGCACTTCCGCGGTGTTCTGTGACAAGACCGTTAGGTCTTCTTAGGGCACCTAAACAACAATAAAAAAAACAAAAAAAAACTCTCCTCCCTATCAATTTGAAAACTTTGTATAACTATAAAAACTTAACACCATAAGATTAAATTTAAATTTGTAATTTAGTATTCATTTGGTTTATAATTTTAACTATATTATGTTTTAATTTCATGTCTCAAGTATATTTAAAGTCATTACTACTTTTTAATTCAGAACTTGTTGCCAAAATTTTAAAGATTGATTAATTGTATCAATGGAAGGAAATAGACCTTGATAAACGGGTAAAATTTTGATAATAAAATAATGAAACTAATCTAATTACAATAAACTATAAAATAATAATAAATAATTAAAAATATTTAAAAGAATATGTATATATATATATATATATATATATATATATATATATATATATATATATATATATATATATATATATATATATATATATATATATATATATATATATATATATATATATATATTATATCTTTAAAACATAATTAAAAAAATAAATAATAAAAACAACAAAAGTATTTTAAGCTCGTTTTTTAAAAAATATATATTTTTTGAATTACCATTACGAGACGATTGACTTTTTTTTGGATTGATTCATTTGATTGATTAATTTATTACTTGATGATTTATCTTTAAATAAACAGTAATTAAGCAAATCATTGTATATTTTACTAAAAAAAAATTTTGTGTCTGTAAATCTCAATATTTTTACTCATTAAACCATTCAACATGGTTTTTCTTTTTCATAGCTGATTTGGAATCTACCAGCAAAACTTAATAAAAAAGTGTTAAAAAAAAAAGTTTTAGGTTAACCACCCCTATAATAAAAATCACAAATATATATGTAATAAAAAAAACTTTTAAAGTTGCATTTATCAACTTTGTGATTCTTTATTATGATTTTTAAGAAACATAAAAAATAATGAAAAGCAACAAATGACAAACATGGTACACTGGAAATCAAAAGAACGTTGGGATTTGGAAACTGAAATGCAGTTTCAAACAAGAGGTTGTGCAACACTTCCTAAGGTATAAATTTTATTATGCTATAAACAATGCCCTAATTATTGGTCAAATATTTGTATATATATATTGGTTTATAATTTTTTACAATTGACAGTTTTCATTATATTTTGTAACATTTCAATTTGTTGTTGTCGTCATTGCAAATTTTATCATTTTGTTATTGTAGTTAGTTTACTTTGTTACAGTTGTTATTCTCCATATGAGATATTTCATATGTCACATAATTTATATTATTATCAAACAAGTTTTTTTTCTTACAAACTGAATAAAATCTTCGTAGTATCATAAAAATTGAAACAGGGTTCGTAAAAAATCATAAAAATAATTTTTTTTTTAAATATTGAGAAACATTTACAAAAATATTTAACTGAATTTTTTTGTTTTTCTAGACATCTGGTACCACGTGCACGTCTCCTTGTTCAAGCAGAACCTTACCATTAACTGTGGATCACTACTTAACAACTCCGGAATCAAAAAGAAAAAACCGCACATTGTCTCTAGGTTTTCAAGAGCCTTTCAAAACTAGGGTATAGATATATATATATGTATATTTTAAATAGTAAAAAGCAAAATTGTAAATCCATTGTACTTAGTTAAGAATTTATTATTTAAAATAAGAAATGAACTTCTTGTTTTAAGTAATAAATTGCGGGGTGGAAAATTTATTTCTATAACTTAATTTACTACAAATATTTGTAGTTTAAAACATAATTCTTATCATCAACTTCAAAATGTCCTTTAAAATAAGTTTATTTTGTAAAATATAAATGGACCGGGGCCCCTGAAAAAGTAAACCCTTGATGCAGAGCAACTTCCGCATTCCCTTGTTGACCTTACATACTAAAAGGAAGAATTTCTTTGCTTAAAAAAAAATTCTCTAAACTAAAAAGCTTCATTAAATGTTAATGATAAACTAGAAAAAAGTCACTGGAACTAGAGAATTCGTTTTTATTATGGTTTTAAATTTTATTTCAAATACCTAAGAAACTCATTGTTATAAGGGCGAACGTTTTAACGAAAGTTTATTTTAATAAAAAATATTTATAAATTTCATTCTAAGTAGGATAAAGCAAACTTAAAATATTTTACCTTAATCTTACATAAAAAAATTAACAAAATTATTTTCATATAACAATTATATGAAAATAATTTTGTTAAGTATAACAAAATATTTTTCATGTACTTTTTTCTAAAACACAATAAGATCATAAGAGATGATCACGATGTGATCATAAGATCGCAATAGTTAGATCATAAGAGATGATCATGATGTGATCATAAGATCGCAATAGTTAGATCATAAGAGATGATCATGATGTGATCTTAAGATCGCAATAGTTAGATCATAAGAGATGATCATGATGTGATCTTAAGATCGCAATAGTTAGATCATAAGAGATGATCATGATGTGATTTTAAGATCGCAATAGTTAGATCATAAGAGATGATCATGATGTGATCTTAAGATCGCAATAGTTAGATCATAAGAGATGATCATGATGTGATCATAAGATCGCAATAGTTAGATCATAAGAGATGATCATGATGTGATTTTAAGATCGCAATAGTTAGATCATAAGAGATGATAATAATGTGATCACAAGATCACAATAGTTAGATTATAAGAGATGATAATAATGTGATCATACGATTATAAAAAAATTAGATCGTAAAAAATGATTGGTTTTAATTGGTTTGTACGGATAAACTTTGTTTAGCAAAAAATATATAATTTTTGAAATCTTTAAATATAACTTTTGTACACGCTGTTTTTAACACTTCCTCTCCTTGTAAACAAGGGTACATTTTTAGGTTACTCCCCCTCCCTTCAAACCTGCGTATTTTTTAGGTAACTCCCCCCTCCCTCCACCTACGTAAAATTTGAACTTAACAAAAAACAAGTTTATCAATTTTTTTATATTTAATTTTTAAATGTTCTACCGCGGTGTTCTGTGACAAGACCGGTAGGTCTTTTTGGGGCACCTAAAACAAAAAAATTTTAAGTTTAATAAAATAAAATTCAATATAAAATAACCAAAAAATCTAAGTATAATTTAAAAGTGTTCACAAAAAAATAAAACGGAAATATTTTAATAAAACAGTTTTATACCATTTTATGGGTAACAAAATATTAAAACATTTTTTGAAACTTTTCAAAAATTTAATGAAATTAAATTTCAACAAATTTATTAATTTAATTTCAATAAAATTCAAGAAATTATTATTTACAACTTCTGTTTACATTCTTGATTTGTTTAGTTACAACTTTTGTTTACATTCTTGATTTGTTTAGTTACAACTTTTGTTTACATTGATTTTAGGATAAGTAATTAAGATCTTCAAGGATCTTAAGCAAAATCTCTCTCAATATCTCAATTTTCTGCATTCAAACATTTACCTTGAAATTTTGATTTTCTTTTAAAATTTTATATACAACGACGTCAAGATGGATTAAAAATATGAACTTTTAAATAATTATGTCTAGGAGAACAAACACTATCAATGTTTTGGAATGGAAGCTTTTGTTTAGACGCACCATTTTTGTGTTAAATATTTTCCTTAACGTTTAAATTTTTGTTTTATGAGCTTTATTCATTTTCTTTGAATTCTTACAAAGATGAGTTTATCTGTAAAATCAGCAAAAATAAAATTTTTTAAAATTAAAGCTTTACAAACTGTTTAATATTTGATTTAAAATATCTGACTTCATAACGTCTGACTTTATAAGGTCTGACTTTATAACGTCTGACTTTATAATTATATAGCGTTATATAACGTCTGGCTTTTTAACTGTAAATGTATTGTTTATCATTAAAATTATTTTTACAATTATCTTATTTTTGATTGAGAGATTTTGTAACGAAATTATTCAAGTATAATAGAAGTAAAAACAGATGTTTTACCTTTTTCATTATTCTTTAACAAATGAAAAGTAAAGGAACATTTACTTTTCATTCTTTATGATCAAAAATGTTTGCCGACTGATTTTTTAATTTAAAGTATACTTTATTTTGTGAGATTAACATAAGCTTTTATTAAAACAATCAAAACAATATTTTTAAAACTGTCAATCAAAACAACATTTTAAAAATACGTTGTTTTAGTTTTTTTCAGTTTTGCTGTGAAACAACTTTCTAATAATAATAAAAAAAGAACTTTTCATCATAAAAATATTTAGAGTCATTTATTTGAACCTAAGTGTTTGGTTACATTTTTTTTAGTTTTAGTGATTATTTATTTGTTCAAACAATTTCTTTAAGCTTTAGAATTTGGTCAATTTTTAAACAATTTTTTAGACTTCGGTGTTTGGTAACTTTATTCATTTAAAGAAAAATAAAAGAGTAAGTGACAATTTTGTTTTGGTTGACTTTTGATGCACAAATATCTAAAAATAAAATCATTATTTAATAAGCAAAAATTTGTGTTTTTTTTAACAATTTGTTTATTTGTTATTATCTTGTTTTATTTTCTAGAAGTCAGATTCGACTATTTGTTTTCATCCTCATATGAATAACAATGACACAGAGGTAATCGTAATTGTATACATTAATGGTGTTATTGTATTATAAATGCTTGTGTATTATATATATATATATATATATATATATATATATATATATATATATATATATATATATATATATATATATATATATATATATATATATATATATATATATATATATATATATATATATATATATATATATATATATATATATATATATATATATATATATTTCATCCTCACATGAAAAAAATGATAATACCAGCAAAACAAAAATAACATTAATTTTGATTGTAAATAATAACTAAGTTATTATTTAGATTTCAAATAACAACGGAAAATTGTCGGCAATATCTGAAGAAGAAATTGTGCGACTTTTAACGCCAAGTAAAAGTTACTATCCAGATTTGCAAACCATATTTGCCGTTTTACTTTGTTGTCGTCTTTATACATGTCCTATACAACTACTTGAACAGATACACAATGCAGTAATGATCGAGTTAAGCTTAAGTACAGAAGATGATTTGGTAATTCTAAAGAGACTTGCTCAGTTACTAAATGAGTGGACAATTACATTCCCTAGTGACTTCGAAGAAAAATCTGACTATGAGCAACTTATAAAAATATGTAACTTTATAACCACAAATCGGCCTGATTTAAAAATAGAAGTTGATATTATTACAAAGAACCAAAAATCTTATTTAGAAACCAAAAATGATTACATAACAAGAAATTGTTTAGATGAAATTGAATTCGATGAGGTATATCTTTTAATGGATATATGTAATGATCCCATTATTGTTGCCGAACAACTAACAATTATCGAATTAGATAAGCTGTCTAAAGTATCGTTAGAAGAACTCATAATAAATTTTGCATCAAGTAAATTAAAAAAGAGTGTCAAAAAGTCAACTAAAAAATGCCCCAAAAAAATAAAGTCAATGACTGAAATTTACGCTGATTGGTTTAACCGTTTGAGTCACTTAGTGGCTACGGAAATTTGCATGTGTCCAAAATTAGAAGAACGCGCTAAAATAATAAACTTTTTTATTGAAGTCGGAAAACAATGTTTTAAAATTAGTAACTTCAACTCCTTAATGGCCATTCTGACTGGATTAAATAAGAGTTCTGTTAGTCGTATGAGAAGAACGTGGTCACATTCAAACCGGTCGGTATTTTTAAAGCTGGAAAAAGAACTCTCGCCAATAAACAACTTCGCACGGTATCGTGAGACTTTAAAGTTAAGAAAATCGAGTAAAGACTTACATGATTACATTGTTCCCATTTTTGCTCTTTTACTAAAAGACTTGACTTTTATAAACGAAGGCTTTAAAACAATACTACCTAACAATTTGATTAATTTTGAAAAGTTTATGAACTTTGCAACTGAAGTCAGAGAAATTTTAGAAGCTAAAACAATGAATTGTAAATATCAAAAAGAAAATCGAATAACTGAGTATCTTTTACGATCTCCTCTTTGCAACGAAGAAGGACTTTATAAATCGTCATTTGAGGTTGAGCCTCCAGATTCAAGTTTTGAAAGAGATAGGTACAGATCAGTTAAAATGAAAATCAAATCAATTTAAAAACTATATAAAATATATTTTTATTTTTCAAACTTATTAAGTTAATTTCGTTTTTTTTTTTTTAATTTATTTTTTTAAACTTTATTTATTCAAAATAAGTGTTTAGGGTTACAAGTAAGGTTTATAATAAAAAAAAACTAAAAAAAAAAAAAAACTGTTTATATACATAAATAAAAGAATTACAAATTTTGTTGACAATGTGGAAACTCCTAAATGATCTTGTGATCTTAAAGAGATTAGTTTATTTAAATGTTTGTAAAATATTTATAGATAAATATAAACTATAGATAAAATTAAAAAATACATGTAAATAAATTATTAGAATATAGCATTTGCATAGGTATAAATATATAAATAAAACATTTGCATACGTATATTTGTATACGTAAAGAAATATAATATTTGCAAACGTATAAACACATGAACGCAACATTTGCATACGTATAAATACATGAATACAACATTTGCATACGTTAAATATATGAATACAACGTTTACATACGTAAATATATGAATACGACAGAATATACATTTTTGCTTACTTAAAATTACTTTCTTTATAATATAAAGATAAAGTAGTAATAGGATTTCATCAGCTAGTAAAAAAATAAAAATTTACAAAACAAAAACTCAACATAGTAAAGTGCCTAGTTGCCATTATTTTGCTCTTAGTGTAAATATTCGTTTCTCGTTTTATCATAAATTATTGATCTAACAGTTTTAACGAATAGACCGATAGTTGGGTTTTACCTAATTATCGATTTATACATTATAACAAGCAACCTCCGATTTTGCTCCCAAAAAGAGCTAAATGGCAAACATATGTTTCTTACTAGTGGTTGCCATTTAGCTCCTGAAAGAGCTAAATGGCAACCACTAGCAAAAAAAATGTGATCGCCTTCTGTACATTTTTTACAATTGGTTAGTTTGGTTGCCATCTTCGATTGTTTAGAAAAAATGGTGCTTTGATTTATTTAAAAAAAAAATGGTGACAAAAAACTTGATTAAAAGTTCTGTTTGTCTAACTGCAGATTCTAACATCAAGTGCAGTATCTGTCCGCTTTTCTCAATGCCATCTTTCTAACTTGACTACTTTTGACGTTTACTCTTATTTACTTCTGTTCCTCTTTAAAACTCACTCTTGGTCCGTCGAAGCAGATTATGATGCTCTTTAGTGAGCTAAAACTGTCTTTGCGGGCCTTGGTATATGATCTTCATATGGCAATAACTTATTGTTAAGGAATTAAAGTTTTATATACATAAATATTTTTAAATCACATTGTGAATGGATGCGATATACTAAAAATCGCATCCAAGCGTGGATTCTGAAAAAGAAAAAGAAAAAATCATTTTAATAGATGTGTAAAAGTTTTTATGCGAAATTTCTTTTAACTTAATAGAAAAAAGAACTATAGTGTAATCGCTTTTAAATTGTTCTTACCTTAATTACTGCCTACTATTTCACCACTTGATTGACTGGAGTCTTTAACTTCTTTGCCATCTTAGATGTCAAGTGTTAGGTATTTCTCTCTACTTTTGTCAGCTCTTGCTGTTTGTTTTTCTTTATTACTTCCTCTTGGATGAATACAACTTGATCTGACGTCACAGCAGATATTGAGTAAAGCTCTTGCGTAACAGTATAATTTTTCGCTACGAAAAGTATCGATTGTTATAATAGTTTATAGAATACCCTAATATATACCCCAAAATATTAGGGTAATATAGAAACATTATTTAATGACCATACCTTGCACTAAGTTCAAAATGAAACAAGGTCCATATTGAAAAATTGAGGCATTGTGTGTGTCGATGAACTATCAGAAGTAGAAAGATGGCAAAAAAATTCCACTAGTGAAAGATTAGCTCCAGAAAATTTTTGGATCTGCTAGTTTGTATTAAGCACTACCAGTGCTTAATAAAATAAAGCACTGCAGTACGCCAGTGCACTGGCGTAATTTAAATGGCAGTTTGCATAATAGCGGTTTTTTCGATTTTGCGATAAAAAAGGATAAAAAATCGCATTGAGTCGAACGCAACTTTTGCAATTAAATTGGCTCGCAATAATTATTTAGCAAATTAATCGAAATTATAAAAAACCCCATTGCAATTACCTAACAAATCACCCTCGATTCCTAATCTAAAAATCACTGTTAAAATTTACCACATAATTGCGTTGTGGTAACGCTAGTGCTTTATTTGATCACTAACTGCGTGTTTTGGTCAAACACAAAATCAAATCAAATACTTTGTTTTAAGCACGTTAAACTTGGCAAAATCCGAAACAAAGTTTTTGCGGCTTTTTAAATTTCTGTAATTAAAAACTAGTTTTAGCAGATGCTATAGATTCATGTAGATTTATTCAGTGGCGTAGCTAGGGTTTCTAGCGCCCAGGGCAATGCTGAAAATAGACGCCTCCTGAAGCAGACATGCGAGCAAAAAAAGCACTTGTTTCCAAGTATATGACAATTTTAATTAAAAAAAAATGTAAATGCTAATCATAATGCAAACTCAATATAACTTATGTTAACAGTTACGTATCCCTTATGGTTCATGTGAGTTAGTCATTGAAAGTGACAGATGGTCAATTTCTAGGAGTGATTATAAATGAAAATATATCACGGAAATATCATATTAAATCTATTGAAAACAAAATCTCCAAAAATATCTCAATGTTATATAAAGTTAAACCATTTCTTAATATCGAGTCTTTAAAAATTATAAATTTTTCATTTATTCATAGTTATTTTTCTTATTATAGTATTGCATGGGGATTTACTAATTATGGGAAGCTTAAAAAAATCTATAGCTAACAAAAACAAGCAAGTAGAACTATATTTGGTGTTAACAGAACTGTTAATGGTGAATCTCTTTTAATGGAACTTAATGCACTCCATGTTTATAAACTTAACATATACCAAGTTATGCTTCTAATGTTTAAGAGAAAGCATGGTTTATCTCCTAATATATTTCACTCTTACTTCACCGAAGATACTCATAAATACTCCACAAAGTGTTCAACTAATAATTTTGTTGTTCCAAGATCTTATTTAGAATTCAGCTTGTTTCAAATTCAATACCGTGGACCATTTATATGGAAAAGTGTTTTGAAAAATATTATCAAAAATAAAACGCTTCTAAATTTCTCACTAGAATAATTCAAACAAGAGTTTTAACGATTTCTATTAGAAAATTACTTCGATCTTAAAATTTTTTTTTAAATAAGTACCTATTTTTTTTAAATAAGTACCTAAAATAATTAACCTGAAAAAAAGTCATCATACTCACTTATTTCTGTCTTGATTTGTTTCTAATTTTCTTCTTATAAAAAATAAAAATAAATAACTAAACAAAAAATATATATACTATTATACGATTTACAAATTGTAATATATTGTGTTTTACTACATAATCTTCAACCTGTAAATTTTTAACTTTTAATTTTAACTTGTTACATAAACTGAAAGCGACAATGTAAACGGGGCTCGGCGATAAGACAGTATACATCTTCTTCTTGCTCTGGCCATTTATTTTACGTGTATGATCTTTTTTATTATAAATTTTATTAAACGGCATTGGAAATAAATAAATGAAATAAATAAAAAATCAGTTCCAATAATCAATAACTATTTATAAATTATAGTTTGATTTTTCTATCTTTAACTGCAGCAAATTTATCTATTATATTCAAAGTCTGTTAATTCTAGAGTTTCTCTTTCAACACTAAGAATTGCAAAATCAACCAGACGTTGTTGCCCCATTGAAGCTCGTAGATATAAAAGAATAAGCTTCAACTCGCTGAAGGAACCTTCGCAACGGGCTATTGACTATGCAATTGTGAACAAGATTTGTAATTCAATTCGTAAGTTTGGAAAAATGCTATCTCCGTATGACAAAATAAATGAAAGTAAATCCAGCGGAGTTGTTGATATTGGGTCCCCACGAGATTTAATCAGCATCTGACAGTCTGAGATTTCAGTAAGTAATTCTGCTCCACTAATATCTGTACTGTAAAAGTTTCCCAGATCCAAACAATGTTGCTGCAAACTTTCTTGATTTTCATCACCATCCCTCTTTGGCAATATTCTCACATCGAGCAAGAACCCAAATTTTTTATTGAAATCATTTAAACGTCTAAAGTGAGTTGATAGTTCTTGTTGGAAAAGATCAAATATCATTTTCAAAACTCTGCTAACTTCATCTTCAGCAGAAAGCAGGGTTGGACTAGCTCTAAAACATGGACCGGGAAAACCATTAGTGACCGGGAAAACCATTAGTGACCGGCCTCATCAAATTGTAACATCTTATTTACACTTCTTGTTTTTTCAAATGTCTTTTATTAATTATAATAAAATGGGATGGATGACAGTTTTTTCTATGATCCAATTAACGAAGGGAGGGGGGGGGGCGTTGTATTGACAGACGATCTCGCACCTAAATGAATAAATGATCTCTTCAAAAAGTTGCGCACCCCCAGCGTGTTCCTCTAGCAAGATTAACTTTGTATAATTTATAATAGGGTTCATTATCGAAATTGCAATTTTCGAAAATTTTCGATTAAAACGTTATCGAAATACTTCTTTTTTTTCGAAATCTAAAAAAACTTTCGATAATAATCGAACTAGCCATATTAATTTCGAAAAAAAAAAGTAATTTAGAAATGTGAAATTAATTTCGAAATAAAAAGGTGGATTACGAAATAGGAAATTAATTTCGAAAGGAAATAAAGAACTTCGAAATGTGAAATTAATTTCGAAAATAAAAAGGTGGATTTCGAAATAGGAAAATAATTTCGAAAGGAAAAAAAGAATTTCGAAATGTGAAATTAATTTCGAAATAAAAAGCTGGATTTCGAAAAAGGAAATTTATTTCGAAAGGAAAAAAAGAATTTTGAAATGTGAAATTAATTTCGAAAAAAAAATGTATTTCGAAAAGTGATATTAATTTCGAAAGAAAAAAAAGAGTTTTGAAAAGTCAAATTAACTTCGAAAAAAAAAAGTGTATTTTGAAAAGTCAAATTAATTTCGAAAGAAAAAAAAGAGTTTCAA